TGCTGTGTGGTGCCTTTGTGGGTCTCCCTGCTGGAAAGCGATTCTAGACTAGACTGGAGGGGTTTGAATTTGAGGCAGAAGTCCTCCTCCTTGCTACATTTTTAAAGATTGGTAGCACAAATGCTTTTTTCTTATATGAAAACAATCCTTTTGGGGAATGTAGGTAAAGATAGAAAGGTTCCCAGAGAACAGCAGGAACTGCCTTCATCAGCATGGGCTGCAGGAGCGCCCTGCTCCCGCCCACGCAGACGGGAAGGGGCGCTATAGCAAGAGGTACAGTCAGAATCTGTTCCCTTGAGCATCCTGTGGGAAATGACTTCCTGCTCTGAATACAGCAAGAGCCTGTGAATATGAAGGCACGTGACTGCCTGCCAGTGCGGGGAGGTGCCCCACCCACACTTGGAAGGGTTTTAACTCTCAGTTCTTTTTTTCCATTCTTGGACCTGGTCACTAGGGTACTGGCTGCTCTAGAGCTCAGGGAAGTGTATGTCTAATGCTGACATCTGCCCGTGTGAGGTACAACTGTGACATCTGCCCGTGTGAGGTACAACTGTCAACTGTCACAGCCTTTGTTGGGCCTCAGGTGGCTTTAGGGTTGGCATCTCTTAAGGGAAATGACATTTTCAAAATTGCTAACTATATCTGTATCACTTTTAGTTAAAGAACATGCTTTATGTACAGTGTTTCATAGGTATAAAGGTTTTTTCACCAAGGTTTTTGGCTTTTTTTTTTTTTAAGACCAAGTTTACCTTTGTAGTCCTGGCTGTCCTGGGACCCCTATGTAGAACAGACTGGCCTTAAACTCACAGAGATGTGCCTGCCTCTGCCTCCTGGGTGCTGGGATAAAGGCGTGCTCTACCATGGCTGGCTTGTTTTAAAGTCCTCATTTGATAGGTATGGAACACAGCTCAGCAACTGAGCCAAGGCCTGCAGCTGCACGACTCCACTAGCTGTGGCTTTAGAGAAAGTCATACTAAGTAACACGCGGTCCGACTGGTATCTCGGGAACATGTGCATGGACAAGTAGATCTGTTTTTAAAACTAGAGACTCTGATAGCCGCCATGCTAGTCACTAACTGTTCTCATTCAGGTTGATGTTACAGTGTTAAGTCTTCTCAGGCCCAGATCAGCTACAGTCACCTTGCTGCTAGCAGTGCGCACACTCCTTAGTTTCCCTTTAGAGCTGAGGTGGACACTGCTCTGCTCTGCTTTCTCTCCTTTGTGTCGTATCTCTGTAACAGTTTGCTCCAGATGACTTAGGGGGACTGCATGGAGAGCGCACAGTCGGGAGAATTCCCGTGGAGTCACATTTTCCTCAGGATCATCAGAGGGGGCTGCTAACGAGCTAGGGCTCCACGAGGGAGCAGCAGATGATCCCCTGCTCAATGTGTGCTGGCAGTCTGCATGGCAGGTGACCGAGCCGCTGTGACTGGACATTTCAAAATATAAAACGTGAAAGCTCTGGCTGTCCTGGAACTCTCTGTAGCCCAGGCTGGCCTCGAACTCAGAGATCCACCTGCCTCTGCCTCCCAAGCACTGGGATTAGAGGCGTGCGCCACCACCGCCCGGCTTCATTGATTTCTTAAACCTCAGTAATTTAGATAACAGTGGCAGACTTTCCATCTTTCTTGAGAACCTTTTCTAGGGATTTTGTAAACACTGCTCAATTTTCAGGCTTTGTAGAACATCGGAATTCAGAAATCCCTTCTTCAGTGCTGGACTGGACTCCAGTCCTGGAGTGTGTGGCACTGGGGATCCCGGTGTTTCCTGGGCAGGGTCCCACAGCTGGATAGTTGACCGTGCACACTTCTCCATGAGTGTCTCAGGAACCATTTGAAGCAGAGAAAGTTCAGTGTTTGTTTTATGTCCAAGATTTTCTTCTGCCGTAAGCACAGGTCTGCTGAGATCTATAAAGTAAGCCACCACCCCCATCAAGCTACTCCAAGATGCTTTTTAAATTTTGTTTTAAATAGAAAAACTGAGCTACAAAACCCTAAGTCACATTGTTTTTAGAAAGCCACTTACAAAGCTATATGCAGTTACATCTCAGATTTAAAAGTAGCTTGTCTATGTTTAGATATTTCTAAATCGCACTTACTTGTTTAAGAACTTTAAAGTCCTGCAATTTTTCCAAGGCTTCTTGGGCATTTTAAAATACTCTGCTTATTCATCACGAATAGCCTGAGATAAACAACTGCATGTTTAAGTCTGTATTAGGACAGGAACTTGGCCCACATTCCATGTTATGGAAACTATTTAACCTCTTTCTGATGGTGGGAAAATGACATGCAGAAGTCATTGCCATCCCATCAGCAGCCCCGTTCCTGTGAGGCTTGAGAATTAAGGCCTCAGTACTCAGTTTCTCATGGCATTCCTTCTTGGTATTAGGATATTTGCTTCTCTTACAGCTTTTCCTCAGAGGGAACAATTTCTAACCATACATCTGAGGATGCCTGAGACTACAATCCTTATCAAAGATGAAACAAAAGTGTGCCCTGCTAGTGAGGCCCATAGATGACGTACACATGTACAACAGCCAAAAAACAGAGCCTGGAGACTGCAGAGCCACACTGCCACACACCTCCACTAACAGAAAAACAAAAATTTACTACCCCACTGCTGTCCAGAAATAGCAGAAAGCAGATCATTTAGAAAGAATATTCATTTACAAAAGTCACAGCTTTTTCCTCCTCAGTTTCCCTTTCTCAACATACGGCAACAACAGTGTGAGGAAGGTGTCTGAGCAAACACTGTAATTGCAAGAAATAAAATGTAGCCACATGCCACACCAGCGTGTCAGTCAACAACAGACCATGGCTCTCACAGTGGCCCCATAAGGTTATATGGCCTGCTGATGCAGTTACATAAGGTTATATGTAACTGTCTGGCTTGTGAAAGTACATGCTAGGCTGTTCCCATGAGGTCACCTAATGACACATTTCTCAGCACACATCCCCACTAAAATGATGCATGAGTGCACACAGTCCCTAAGTTCCTCTTGGAGCCACAACATAAAACCATACCTGACTGAGCACCGTCACAGACATGCATGTTTGTACACCACATGTCTAAGTCATAGGATTTTCCAACTTAAAATTCCCAGTTTTGAGCCTGGCCACTTGATGTTTCTTCACACAGGGTAAGGGTCCCAAACTCCATCCTGTTGCTAGAGTAAGATCAGGGAGCTGTTTCACACCAAACTCTTCCCAAGGATCTATAGATGACATGGGAGACTGGACTGAGGTAATGAGCCTGTGTGCCATGAACACATTGTCCCCATGGAGACAGCGACGGTCATTCAAGTCTCAAGTTCCTCAGAGTTTGCCAAGCAAACCTTCCCAGCATTGAACGTTGTAATAAATGGCCATTCCTTACTGAGAGGTTCTCAGTAGAGTTGACCTTGGACTTGTGGGTGTGGGGTTTTCCATTTCCAAGGAGAAATGGCTGAGTCTCAGGACACCTGCCTGGTGTTTCCTGTCTTTTCAGCACCTCAGAACCACTAACATAACAGCAGGAAGCCTTTCACCACAGCCCAGCATTCATTCCCCTCAGAAACGTGTCCCTCATCTGGTCATCTGCCAGGACAAATGACAAGGGCCACATAACAATTCCTTTATCCTAGGACTTCCTGATTTCTTGTACCTAGAAATATGAGCACAGATGTGAGGCCCTCGGAGGAAAAATAAAGCAATCACATAGCAAAAGAGCCAGTCAGCAATCCAATAGAGGAAACTTTTTAGGCTTTGATGAGGAATACGTCTCATTAGAGTTCATTGCCTTCAAGATTTGTAAAAATAGGTGGGGATGTAGCCCAGTGGTAGAACCCTTGCCTTGCATGTCAAGGGCCCTGGGGACCGCACAAAAGCACAAAGTAAAGTTGCCAGAGGTCAGTGCCAGGCTCAGGGAAGTTAGCGCTGCCACTTCTCTAGTGTCTTCCTTCTGCTGGTTACCTGTGTCCTTGAAGCTCTGAGCTCAGTAAAGCGCAGAAAGGAACTGGCACAGGTGTGACGGGGTTGCACAGGATCGTCACAGAACTGCCTCTTCTCCGTGGGCATTCTCTCCCCATCTCGGCACTCAACCTAATGAAAATTCAACCACAGCAGGTAGCCATCTTCCTTCCCTACTACTTCGTGCCGAGTCTAGGGAGAAAGAGGCAGACCCTGGGATACAGGTGCATTCTTTCCCCTTCAGGAAGTGTTCATGGTCAGAGAGAGGTTTAAAGTTGGTCTTGTCAGTACTCCACTGCAGTGTTCCCACCCAGGACAAGTGTTAAGACTGACCATCGTGATCAGGCACGGCAGGGACTCTGGAGGCCACCCGAGGCTTGGTTCTCAGAGCATGGGCTTGTTTGGAATGGAAAATACAGAAAAGAAAAACAAGAAAAAAGAAAGTGGCAGTCAAGTAGCGGGTCACCACGCACCTTGAACTTCAGCCAGAAGGTGTTGTGGGTCTTGTCAACAGAGTGGGGAGAGACCAAAGGAAGAGGTCTGCGGTGACAGCAAAAGTTGAGGGTCATTCTTAATTTGAAAGGCATCTAATATGCCTCCGTACCTCATGTCCCTTGGGGGTGACACACCCATGAGCCAACCTTCCTCTCTGATTAGCGGACCTACAGAGCAGTTCTCATCTTTAAGAGCCAGTTGAGAGGCCACTGCCAAGGACAACCTAGCTCTTCCTGTGCCTAGCTGCTGTGTGTCAGTAGGGCGGCTAGGATCTACAGCAAGCTGGTTGGCTCCTTCTACCTTTTTCCAGGGAGTGGCTGGTGGGGCAGACCTTGCTCCGTGGAAGGAGAACACTCCCAGAAACAGCTGCACCAGGCTGTAACTTGGAGGCACTGAACTTGTATTTCAGACTTTGCAGTGTCTGTCCAAAGAAGATGCCCTGAAGTGATCCAGTCCAGGCTTTGCTACTAGTAAAGCCATGTGATTGGGGAGGGGACCGAGGCTGAACAAAACAAAATGGTTGGTGTTACATAGAGGAAAGAGGGAACACACATCTGCTAGAAGGGTGAACAGAAAATCATTTATCTAAATAGAATAATAGAAATAAACAAAACCTTTTAAAAACAATCACAAGATTTACAAATAAATTGGTACAAAATAAATAGGTATTGTAAATCTACAACATTTGAGTTATAAACGCATCCATAGTGACAGTCGGCTCGTGCCGCCTGTGCACATGACCTGTGCTGGTTCAGCTTCCCATTTATGCCACTGCTCAAATGCACGACATGGACACCATGATACAGCGGGTACAGCTAAGGAGGGTGGAAACACCAGGCAAAGCAGGGCTTGCTTTAGGCCCAAGGCAATGTTGGTAACTGGGCCACAACACCAGGAAGAGGCTGTTCAAAGCCTAGACAGGCAGGCAGCTTCCATGATAGATAGGTTCTGCAATGGTAGGTGAGAAGTGGAGACCATCATTTAGGGACCAGGAAATTGATCTGGCTTGGGTAGTGATGAGGAAGGAGCCACATGCTGCCACCACACAGGGCCACTTCTGCAGTAACTCATGAAGACTTGAGAAGATCTGCTGCCACCTACCTCTCAAATACTGGCCATCAGGAATGAGTTGGGGTAGGGCAATGAAAGAAGCTGGAGGACGAGCAGCAATACAGGGTTTTTTTCCTTTAAAAAAAAATACCACCGTCCTCTCACCCATAAGGGACAACAGAACCCTAGGTTCCATGGATGAGGGGCTTCAGAACAGAGTGTCTTAGTCACAGAAGACATACTAACAGAATAGACATATGTACATAATAAATAATATAAAATAAAGCATATACATTTGTGGATTTAAAGGACTGCAAAAATAAGTCAATGAATTGATAGACTCTTCACAGTAGACCAGACATGGGTAGTAGTGAATCAGAAGCTAGGCAGGGGCTGTCTAGGGAATGAGTCCAAAGACTCATTCTTCTCTACTTCCCTCTGTTCTAGGGTCCTGGGACCCAGCTGTATGTATGTAAGAAACTGGAGTCTCCGGGAAGAGCAGGCACTCAGGTCTGTTAGGCCCTTTTGATAGTTCTCTTTAGAGTGATTCTGGAAGAATCCAACCCCTTAAGCAAATCCATGTGGATCAGATGTGAGCAACATGAGAATCTGGTGCTTTTCCAAATGAGGCCAGACAGTACCCGAGTCATCCTTATCTGAGGTCATTGTTGACCCACAGCTCTCCTGCTGCATGTTAAGGGCTGTGTACGTACAAGCACCTAGAACCCGACTCTAGAACCTGCCATTTTGATAGTGCTTCAAGTACCGCCTGGCATCCCCCATCAAAAGGCATTTAACACAATCACAGTTGAGATGTCTCAATGGCTCTAGTTTAAAAGGGTTGCCCAAGCCCTGTCAGTCACAGGGAACCAAGAAACAAAGGTCCCCAGCTGCTGACTTTAGCTGCTGTGAAGGACTGCTCCCTCTGCCTGACTGGGGTGGGCCTGGGGGGAGGGTAACAGGACTCCCCAGAAGGAAAACCAGTGAATCAGCATCAACTCGGCTGGAGGAAGGTCTGCTCACCCCAGGCTTGAGCCCAGCCTACAGCAGGCTCAGCCTTCTAACACCATTCGTCCCTCACATAAGCAAGTGAATGAACCTCGATGAGTTCATCTTCCCATCAGCCACTCAAACACAAAAGTAAATGGCCCTGAGGTATAAAAATCCACTGAGTAGGTTGCTCATTGATAAATTTGTAGGAGAAAAACTCCCCAATCCCCCCACAATCACTTCCCTCTACATCTCTAAATTCCTCCTAATTCTGGGCTAGCCTACAACTTACCCAGCTGGCCTTGTTGCACAGAAGCACCACAAGCCTAGGCCCAGAATGGAAGCAAACAGCCCAGGAAAGAGCCTGACCCCCCAGTGAGAGAGGGCACACTGGTACTTCCAGTGCCTAAACCAGCCACCAGCCCCTCACAAGAAAAGCACATCTTGGGTCAGAGCAAGGAGGGTTGTACCAAGCTCCCAGGGAGTTCAGGCTACACAGTGTGTTGTAAGAAGTCAGCCCTCTCTGGCCTGCTCTTTAGTCCAGGGAGCAAGGTGTGTACGATGTACCAATTAACCTGCCTGGGTTCACCCCTGGGAGACCTCATCCCCTGGTCCAGGCAGTGACTGTGGCACAGATCCCTGGCAGCCTTCAGAGAAGGACAGAGGTGCCTGTGTGTGTTTTAACTAGCCAGGACACAGGCTCAGTCACTCAGCACCTACTTGGTTTGCTCCTTAACCCAAATAACTGGAGGGCAGAAGTTCGTAGTCCCTATTTAACTTCAAGTCCTGTTGCTTCATTTCTTAAGGGAAATGCGTTTGGACCTGCCATGTTTTCCTAGACTTGGAAAAGCCAGTCCTTCAGCTGTACAGAGCTGGGGATGGCAAGGTGACTTTTCACAGTGTTCCTACCAGTGTGAGGTTCTGCACTGAACACCTGCACACATTTCCTGGACTAACGTAAGAAAGTGGTGTGTGGCTCAGCTCCCTTCACGTGAGGTCAACCACGCCCACCGAGAGCATGGAAGAGGAGGCACCTTCAAATTAAGAACCAAAGTTTAATCTAGTTGACTAGCACCCCAGTACTCACGTAGAAATTTCAGGATTCTGTTTTCCCAAGAGTTGAATTACCAGAGTTGGAACCTGCCTGATGGACAGTGGGCAGTGGAGGGAAGTACCCTCATTTACAGTGAACGTCCTGGCCACAGCTGCACACAAGGCTGCCCTGTCCTCTGGCTGGCAGCAGCGGCTCCAGATACCACTGTGGGCAGGGGGGAGGCCCATAGCAACCCGAGTCTGGCCTGCCTGCCGTACCCCTCCTCCCTCCATGTTTGATGGTGCAGCAGCCTGGGGGCACAACAGGCCAGAGCTACAAGGAAGGAGCCCCTGCGCATGGCCGTTCCACTGCTCGCCAGTCTTTCTTGGTGGGAAGCCCACGGGGTCAGGCCACAGATGGTATGTGCCCTTCCTAGCCAAGACGATGCTGCTGGCCCCGAGGGGCAAAGAGCCAGTGCCTCTCCTTCAGCTGTCTAAGGAGTCTGGGAAAGGGGAGAGCTGAAGAATTGGTCACTCAGACGCGAGCCCCGTTTGAAGGTCGAGAACTCCGCAGAGCAGCTGAACTCTAGTCAGTTCACCTTCGTGCACTCGGGACCCAGGGAGGAACTATTCTGAATTCCTGGTTTTTAGAACTGAGTGAGTACCCAAAGGTAATTAGCTCACTAACAGGACATGAACGCCAAGTTGACCGGCTGTAATCTCAATCTTTGAGAACCCCACTCCCCAGCTCTTTGTAAGCCTGCAGTAAGCTGCCACACTAGGCGGTGAGTGACGCTCACTCAGCTCCCCAGACTCACACATCTCTAGGATCTACAAACAGCAAAGCTTGGAAAGGGATCAAGCATGCTTCTCTCCAGGGGCCCCTTCCAGCAGCAAGGCTGCCTGAGGCTGGCAGAGTAGAGCACTCACCACGACAGCCTTGCTGGGCTCCTGCCGCCTCAGGCCTCAGGGAGGTGCCCAGGTGGAGGCTTGTTGGAGAGGCCCTGGCCCTGGCCAAACGGAGAGTGAGCATCTGCACACATTATGCTCCTTGGTAAATGGATTTTTTTCACCTGGATGTGTTTGAAAAGGGGTACTCACAGTATGAGGTTCCACATGGTAGGAACTTCATCCCAAGGTAGCAGGCTAGGTACCAGGAACAGGCCACTCAGCTCCTTTAGAGGCCACGCTCTCTGTGACACCCACTAAGTGAAGCCAGCCCTCTCTGTCAGGCACGGTACTTCTGAGAACACTCCAGGACCACTACCCAGAGTTAACACTGTCAGTGGACATGGCACCAGAGGCCCAAACCCAGGTGTAGTAGGGCACTTGCCACACAAGCCCAAGGCTCTGGGTCCATTCCCAGCATGCATGCGCGCGCGCGCACACACACACACACGTGCGTGCAATACACACATATGTTTCCAGAGTCACCAACTATCTACCAGGAGACCAACCCAACATGTCACCCTCCCAGAGCCCAACCTGGGGTTCACAGACCTCCTACCTGAGGGAGGCAGCTGATGTTGAGCCTTGGGGTTCCCTGGGCAGGAAGCCCAGGCACAGGAAGGCTCTCTTCTCCAGCAGTGACCTGGGTAGTGAGAATCCTATTGAACACTATGGTCAGGAGTTCATTTCAGCGTATGAGTATTGCCAGCAAACACAGGTAACCACTTCAAACGAGCAAGCTAGTTAAGGATTCAGTCACCCAAACAGTACCCACTGGCATGAATTTCACAACACATGGTAAATTTGGTATTAAAATAAGAGAGACACACAGGAGACAGTCAAAACACACATTTGGTTTCTAAATCCATTTGGGGTCAAACTGACTCTGGCTGTATGGGCAGCCTCTCTGGCACTGGCCACATCTGAAGCAAGAGGCACCTTCGAGCAGGGCCACTGCCACCTGTGGGCCTACAGCTCAGGGACAAGATGGGAGGGGGCACTTGGCTCTGTGGAAGGAGGGGCGAGACAGGCGATCCCTGTCCTTCCATTAAAAACATGGGTCTAGAAATGCCCAAGTACACAGTCCACCCCACCCCGGCCTCATTCGATAATACATAAATCCTGTGGGAAAGAGGCACTCACGGAGCAGCACCCCGCATTTCATTCAGAAGCCCCACGGAAGGTCTCCATTTGGCACCTGGAGCAGCAGCTTGGGTTAGCAAGAGTGAGAGCTCAGAAGGTGGGGGGTGGCCCAGCTGATGCCCCAGACCACCCCAGGTTACAGGAATGTGGATGAAGTCAACTTGCCTCTTGCCAATGATAAACCATGGGTTTAAAATTCATTAACATTCATTTTGGTGATAAAAATTCCTTAGGGTGGGAGCAAAATCACATTCCCAAACAAACGTTAACCCTTCCTGAAGGGAAAGGGACACAGTTAAACACATTTTCGAAACAACACTATGTGCAGAGGGACGTCTGCAGCTTCTGCCGACACCCACAGTGACAACAGACTTGGCATGGTCCTCAGTGACGTGGTTCTCTTCATCCATCCATCAAGTTCGACAGCGACACCCACCGGCACACAGAGGAAAGGTATCCTTCCTGGGGACAGCCGAGGAAGGCCACTCAGGCAAGTCCATCCTGTTAGGGTTACATCATGGGGTCACAGCAGAGTTAGTTCAGACAGACCAACTTAGAACTCTGCAAAAGACACTTAAAAACAAAAACATGATCTCTTGAAAAAAATAAACGAAACAATTTTTAAATTCATGCAAATTGAGGGAGGAAAGAAATGATAAAAGGTACTGAAAAAATAAACATGATTCTATTTGGGCAGAAGAAGTCTGTCTCCGAATTCTTGAAAGCCATGCCCCAGCTGTCGAGTCTGGTCTCCACCCGCCCCATGCCGTCCTCACAGCTTGCCATCCTCTGCGGCCTCCAGGGAAAGGGGCAAAGTCTTTGGTCTCAATGCTGTAGGACGCAGCATGGCGGACAAGCTCACACTGTGGGAAGTCATGGTCAGACAGGCCAGGAGGCCGGACGGACAGACGGACGAGGGGCCCGCGCAGCCCTAGATGGCGCCTTCACTGTGCAGGTTGTGGTTGGCCTTGTTGTGCGACACACAGTTCTGTTCATTGAGCAAGTTGGCCGTCTCGTCTGGCAGCCCATCATGCAGCTCCGTAAGAGTCAATTCAATTTTAGTGTTTTCACTGTCTGAAGACTGAGGGGTTTTGTCCATCCGGGATGCCATCAAGGCATTTTGGTATTGCTGTCTGGAGATCTGGGGCCAGAAGAGGACACAGAAAACAAACGGAGACAGCACTTATTCTTAGGTTCTCTGCATCACACACTGAACACCCCCAAAACACACACTGAGCACCCCAAAGGCCCAGAGCTCCAGGAGAAAATCATCCTTGAGTAGAAACCGGGCAGCTCTGAAGTTCAAGTTGACTCCAGCGATCCAGTCAGTTCTCAGCACTAGAACCATTTCTACATCTGGCCTGTATGCTCAGAGACCAGAAAAGTGGACAGCAGCTTCCACAGTTAAAGTCGCTTTGGTCTCCAAAAGATGTCTATTTCAGACTACGAGAAGAACATGTCTCCAGGGCAGACGGCCGCCTCCCAGTGCTTTCCAGGCCAACCAGAGTCACCAGCTACGGCTCCAGAGAACTCTGAGAATCAATCGCTCTCTCCCTCGTCTCCAGTTCCCGTCCCCGCCAAGACCACATGTGCTGTGACTGCTCATGGCTGCTCATGGCATGGAACTGGGATCAGTGTGTTTTTTGGCCTGTGTGCTTGGCCCAGAAGAGGGAGGTGGGGTGCTCTGACAGCAAAAGGGAAGCCTATGGGAGTGGACAAGCTGTCAGGGAAGTGAGCGACACCTGCCAGCTGCCAGCCAGCCCTGCCCCCCTCACCTTGACGAACTGTAGGTCGGAGAGGGCTCGTACTGAGTAGTCCGGGATGTAGACCTGCAGGAAGGAGGAATTGAGCTGGTGGTTGCTGCTCCCCAAGGTCGGTGTTGTGGCGTCAATCCGGTCGCTTCGACTGAGGGAGTCTGAGTGGTTCAGGCCACAGGGGCGAGGAGGTGACTTATTTTCACCTAGAAAAGGGAGAAGAAACAGCTTTGACAGCACTGTAGAGACAGCCAACCGGGAGTGATTACTCCAATAAAACATCACTACCCAGGCGCACACCATGTCTCTCCCTCCGGCAGGCAACATGGGTCCCAGCTGTGACGGACCCAGTCGGGGCAGAAAGGCAAAGGAAGGATCACGGGAGGAGAACCCGCCTCACAGGGGAGGGAACATCACCAGATAGATACGCAGGTGGGGCGGGGACGAGGCCCAGGACACGGAAGCTGCCCGAGACTAGGAAGGGCCAGAAAAGGCTCTTCATTACTTTTCTAGAAACCAAAACTAGTTTTCAAAGTCCCTCTGCTTGTCTCTTTTGCCTCTTATCCACCAGCCAGCTCAAGGATGCCTTGAGGTGACGGCAAGCCTGTGAAAGGCCTGCCTCCAGTGCCTTGGTGCTGAGGGTTCCTGGAGTGAGCTCTTTGGAGCAAGTGTTCAGAGAGCAGGAGACCTAAGTGTTCCTGCTGTCGGAGAACATTCCTCACAGCTTTTTTTTTTTTTTTTTTAGTGTGCAAGTCTGTGCACCACACACAGTGCCCATAGAGGCCAGAAGGGGGGGTTGGATCCCCCAGAACTGGAGGTACAATTTTTAGTTGTCATGTGGTACAAAGAATTGAGCCTAGGTCCTCTGGAAAAGCAACAAGGGCCGTTAACCAGAGCCGTCTCTCCAGGCCCCATTCCCTGGAGCTTTAGAGATGAATTGTGTTAAAATAAAACTCTAGCTGTATGTGGTGGCGCATGCCTTAATCCCAGAGGTACTCAAGGACGGGGTAGGTACATCTTTGAGTTCGAGGCCAGCCTTGTCTACAGAGGAAGGTCCAGGGCAGTGGGGTTACAAGAGAAACCCTGTCTCAAAAAACCTAAGTAGGTAAATAAACGAACAACCCCCACTTTCCGTGCCAAGGAGGCTGCCTTTCCTCTGTTGTAACCGACTCGAGTGCGCAGACCCTGCCGGCTGCCCACAGGCAGTGGCTCTGGATTGCAGAATGTCACAGGAGCAGAGGGGACCCACTGACCTATTGTCCAATGTCCCTAACAGATGCCCCCACAGAAGAGCCAGCCTGTGGCTACTCTGCCCCTCAACTGGAAAAGTCTATCGCCACACTCACAGTCTACCTCCTGCCTCAAGTGACAGGCTCACACAGTGCCACTGAGGAGCTTGCAAGGGCCCTGAGAACCCAAAGCACTGTGTTCCACTGAACTTTTCCTCCCTTCACAGCGGGACCAAACCCGCAGACCAGCCCTCACTGACTCCATTTGCTAAACATCCCCTCAGGACAGAGACCGTCAGTACACCAGGACTCACTCCCAGGCCACAGGCTCTGAATCTACCATCATTTTTTCCGTCACGGCTCACAGCACCGGCTCCCACTGCATTTGACTCAACAGCGCCTCCTACTGCCCCTTCCACCTCCTGAGAGAATGGGCACGTTAATCACCAGCCTTAGCAGAGAACTTTGAACGGGCAACCCAACTCCGCTAAGCTTCAAAATCCTTATCTGTAAAATGTGCACAGTGCTCCCCAGCTCATAGGTCTGAGGGGTCAAAGGAAGATATGAAGTGCTGAGAACAGTGTGAGATCTAGTGAGCACCAGATGAATGTACCACATAGACATGTCTGTTCTTTCCTGTTAGCTTCTCCCAGACCTCGCCACCATGCTCCTGCCTCAGGATCAAGCCTTACCACACAATGATGACATCACCTGTCATGACAGATCTTTCAGTTCTTTTGAACAAGGAATTCTGCGGCTGTACCTCTGGGTTTCGGCTGCAATCACATGTTCCACACATTTTTGAAACAGTGCTCACTTCTACGGTTTCAAGGTGTTAAAGGCAGGTACCTGGCCAGCTCACTGCTTCCTGGCCAGAACTCCAGGTGGAAGGCACGGTCTGGATGCTTCTGGGCTCCCTGTTAGTGTGCGTGCGCTGCTTTCTGGTTATGTGTGAGCGTGGATCTCTTGCTTTGCCTGTGATTGTGGCCTCAGCCTGGAGAAGGCACCCATTTCTCTGTACCTCTTCTAGAGAGCCATGGGCCTGACAGGATTGTCTGGGAACATACCTCATGGCTTTAATACACTGCTCAGCATCTCAAGACAGTATTAAAATCTGAACAGCAACAGCAATAATCTCACACTAGCTAAAGCCTCCTCAACACGAAGGCAGCAGGCCTTGAGAAACAACTCTACCTGCCTCCATTTCTAGCAGACTCACGTTCAACTCTTGCTCACAAAATGTCTCCAGGAAAGTTTAATCATTTAAAAGTGATTACAAAATTATTGTAAAAAGAGGGAGGGGAGAGCTGGACTCTGGTGACAGAGCAGGGTGGAGGCATCGGGAGAGATTTAACCGGCTTTCTGGGGTTGTTGGGCGTTTGCTACTCTTTGATGGAAGCTGCATGTTTTCTCAAGAAGCTGCTGGAAGTCTGTCCTGCAGGCAGTACTCTGACGTAAGCGGGGATCTGGGGATCCTCGAACTATTCCAAGATCTAAGTGGGATGGCCATCTGAAGGACTCGCCGTATTCAGTCATAAGTGTGACCAAAGACACACAGGCTTGTCCACCCAGCGAGGGTGTGTTTGCCTCCAAGATGCATTTCATTCTGGTCCTGTCCACCCTCGCTGAGAGCACTGCTTCTCCTGTCGGACTCGATAGGGATGGCAGTGGGTCTCAGGTCACAGTTGCAGACCCCTGTGTAGCCCTGGCTGTCCTGGAATTCACTTTGTAGACCAGGCTGGCCTCAAACTCAGAGATCTTTTTCTTTTTCTTTTTTTGCCTCCCAAGTACTGGGATTAAAGGCATGTGCCACCACCACCTGGCTCAGAACCAGAATTTTCATATGCCATCTTTGAAATAAGCTGAAGCCAGGCCTGTAGAAGTCTCCAGGCCAGGAAAATCTATGACCTCCTTGCTTATTCTAAATGTCACACACTTCTTTCTTCCACCCAGAAGACAAGTGTTTGAGTAAAAAAAACATCCGTCGATTTGGAGCAGGTTGTCAGGGGACAAGCGTGAGGGACGTTTGTTCCTTTCACATGTGGGTCCCAGGCATCAGGCTCAGCGTCAGGGGTCGTTCCTCACTGAGCCGTCTCTTGAGGTTTAGAGACCATGATTGCTCGAGTGCTGTGTTCAGGGTGCAGCTTTGCCCACCAGTTCTGTCCAGCGGGAGGAACAGCAGCTGGTTAAGAGAACGAAGGAAGAAATACAAAAAGCCAAGTCACAGAAGAGGTGGTGGCCGCTCTTCTGAGGCTGACTTTGGAGACTGCCGTCTACCCGCGTGTAGTCGCAGCAGGACGTGGGTGAACAGCAGCAACGGCCCTGGAGGGTGCATGTCACTACATCAAGGTGTTGGACGGCTGCGTGAACTCTGTGTCTGGGTTTCTGAGCCACTTTTGCTGGGAAATTGAAGCACATGCAGCTGACACTTCTGTGAGAGACTTTCCAATGCTTGCCAAACACTGACGCCCGGCTTGTGTGCAGAGTGGCATTTCCGCAAGTTTCCCGCCCCCGTTTCCAGACGGAGGCTTCCGACCTCAGCTGGCGCCCCAGCTAGCCTCCTGGGACTGTTCTGTTCAACTGCGGTCAGAATTTCAGTTATCTCCATTTCTAGAACACGTTCCCGACTTGTGTTATTAACTGATCTCTACCCCGCACGGCTGGTTTTTGCAATACCAATTGTTCTTCTGTAAGTTGAGTCTTAAGAAAGTGACCTTGGTTATTCACTGTGTGCCTTACTGTTTTCAAACCTGTTCTCCTTTCCTGTTCTTCCATCGTGTCTCCCTGGTCCAGCTCCCAACTACAGAAGTGCAGTCACACCTTAGCTCTGTAGAGTCACTTAAGGGGGGCGTGGCCTCCTTTTTATCGGTATGAGCTTATTTGGAAGACAAAGGACAAAACAGAATGTTTCACAATGAAGAAGATTAAGGGTCTCCAGGGATGAGCAGCAGGGACGCCCACAGGGAAGTAGTGGATGGAGATGCAGCTGGAGGCCATGGAGACCAGGAACAATGCACTCAAGGCAACTACACCCAGCAGAGCATGCCTTTACCTCAGATCCCTTCGGCTGGAGTATAAGCAATTGTGAACCATGCACAGGGTGTGTGTGTGCTGGGAACCAAACGCAGGTCCTCTGCAGAACAGCAAATGCTCTTAAGTACTCAGCCATCTCTCCGACCCCACGGAGAGGAGTTTTATACTGAGTGGGCAGGGAGAGGTGGCATAAACATCTGGGACTCAGTAAACCCAGTCACTTTGGACCATATGTGTTAACTTTGACTCTCAGCAGTCATTACCACCAATTCACATCAACGGTGTCTGCTGAACCCTGGTTCAAAGCAGAATCTGTGGTTTCTCCGTCTTGTCTCCAGAGCTCTATGTTTCTGTGATGCACATGAGCCGTCCTGACTTCACCTGTTCCCATATGGTCTTCCTTTCACCATGGCGGTCACATGATCAAATGATGCCCAGAATGAGGACTATGAAAATTACTCAAACGGACATGGACCAAAAGGCACAAATGGAGAAAATGGAACGCAATATTTTGAACTTATTTAGTAGGGACAGACTAGAAATATAGGCTTCCTGGGTTGGCGTTGTTAGCTGGGTTTGCATGCTGTGGTTTGGGGCAGCTGTGGGCAGAAGTGGTCGACAGGCATTTCTCTCTCTTTCTTTCTTTTTCAACAGTGGTATACCTGTAAGTTTGTTGCACAGAAGTTTCTATTTCTTGTCCTCAGTATTTTCTTGGTAATTCTAGACTGAGGCAGGGATGTTTTGTTTCTTTCGTGTTTATGAATTAAACCCTCTCCTTTGCCCCAGTGTTTCTGAACCCTGAATCTACTTGGCTTGAAACCAAGCATCAGAACACTGTTTTGCTGCACACTGAAGACCGGACAGTTCACTGAAAAGCTTTGCTTCAGCTCTGGGTCTGGGGCTGTAATGAGTGTGGCACCAAGTGCTTTAACTGCTGTTTGAGAACCGAGCTTCCAGTGGACTCTGGTTTGGAACAGAGCCTAGTAGATAGGGTGAGATTTGGGGGTTTGCGGGCTGAATTTTCTACTCCCTAACAGAATTAAGAATTCTAATGACTAATGAACAATCACCCACCCTCATGGGCCAGCGGAGGGAAAATGCTGGTTCTACCATCTCCCTCTCAGTTCATATTGGGCTTTGAGCTATTGAAATGTTCTTCTGTGCCACAAGGTCACCTCCAATAAATTTGCTTAATTAAAAAAAAAGGAATAACACAAATTGGCATCCTTTATCTGAAATCCTTGAGATAAAGGGCAACATTTCCTAATGTAAATTGGTCCATGTGTGCATTCCACACCACAAGCCCTGTTCTGCAACGCTAGAGTAGCCCGGCAATTCAAACTGGGCTACAGTGAGGCCCAGAAGATCTGAACCCACAGAGAGGGGCAGGAGCACCTCCTCCACCCAAGTTTGGGTTCACGTTGCTGTTCAATTTATATGTCAGTGTTTTATGACAGTAATACACATGGGACTTCAATTTTATCTGGGCATGGGGGCATTTGGGAGATAAAGACAGGGAGATCCTGAGTTCAAGGCCATCCTCAGTTATATAGCAATTTCAAGTCTGAGGCCAGCCTGGGCTATAAGAGACCTCATCTCAAAACCAAGACAAAACAAAAACAAAATCAAGACCTTTTCAAACTGGGCATGGTTGCGTATCCCTTTAGTCCTAGCACTCACGAGGTAGAGGCAGGTGGATTCCTGTGAGTTTGAGGTCTCCCTGGTCCACATAGTGAGTTCCAGGACATCCAGGACTAAGACCCTATCTGAAAACCAAACAAACGAATAACGCTTCCAGCATTGTTTAGTTTGTTTTTCTGGCCTTTTGATCCAGTTTATTTTATCCATCCTACCCAGAAATCCTTTCTTTTGGCAGCAAACGAGCAGACACAATAATGAAACATGCCTTCTTTGCAACCACAGGCACCTTCTGGAAGGGGCCGGATAGCACTGGCTTCGTCTAACACCCACTCATGAGGTAGCTCTGACAAATGTCAGCGGGCCTGTTTATTCCTGACCAGATGGAGCAGGCCTAGCAAAGAAAACTCAAATTCTACAGAGAGAGTAAAATTCAAATGTTTAATGGGCTTTGGCCAAGAGTCATCAACTTCAGTACCCCGCGACTTTTTAAACAAACGGGAAACATGAGCAAAGAAAATGGGAGAAACCACCAATGCTTGTGAGTGCACGTGTGTGCTGTTGGCTGGCTTGAGTCCGACAGCTCTAGGAATATCTCATGCTCAGCATATCTTATGCCAAACTCTGAGCCCAAAGAGTGCGTGCGTGCGTGCATGCGTGCGGCCTCATGTATGGTGTGTATATGTGTGTGTGGAGGCCAGAGGTCAACCTTGGGTGTCCCTCAGGTGCTGTCCACTCTTTTTTAGACAGTGTCACTCACTGGGACCTGGGACCCACTGATTTGGCTCAGCCGGCTGGCCAGTGAGCCCAGGGGTCCTGCTGTGTCCGCTCCCCAGTGTTGGGATTAAGCAGACACTACTAGGCTTGGCCTTGGGGAGCTGGAGGTCTGGTCTTCATCCTCTTCCGGCAAACACCTCAGCAGCTGAGCTATCTCTGAAGTCCCATTTTGGGTTTTTGGAAGCCAGGGTTTTACTCTGCAGCCATTCTGGATACAAACTCACTATGTAGCCCAGGCTGGCCCTGGACATGTGGCAATCTGCATGCTTCAGCCTTCTGAACACAGATTAGGCATGTGGCCCACCACACCTGGCTGACAGCAGACCCAAGGGAATGTTAACTAATTTCCTTCTAAGATAAGCATTGCCTCCTCAAGCACCAGAATTATAGAGTTTGAAGTTGGGACTGTATGTAAATTTCATCAGATTAAAAATTACAAAACAATGGCGAAAAAGCAGTACAGAAAAGTTGCATTAACCAACACAGATGCTCAACAATCTTTCTTTCTTTGAGACATGGTCTTCTTACATATGTCGCTCATGCTGGTCTTAAACCCTTGACTCTTCTGCCTCAGACTTCTGTGTGCTGGCATTACAGGTGTGCACCACAACAAGCTCAATTAAGGCTGAGCAATTTTAATTAAAGAAAGATTAACTTTTCTTTTTAGTGGCTGGGCACGTTAGGCATGGCCACGATCTCCTGCGGGGAGATAATCCGCAGCTGGTTAGGAATGTGCATGGCACTAATTCCTAACCCAAGGTGAGACCCCCAAGCAGCAGGGCCATCTGCCTGAGGAGGACAGACATACACCAGCCAGCTCACAGGGAAAGAGTGCCCCAAATCAGGATGAGCCAAGTCTTTTTCTCACTTGCCAAGAAAAGTCCATACTCCCTAAGATTTTGTCCAAATGGATTCTTTGAGAAATGAGAGCAGTCTAGACTTGGGTTAGACCCTCAGGTCTCTGCAAACTCCACATTCCATAACATGCTAGAGATGGAGTAAGACTATGGGCAGACCTGGGTGTTCCAGGACAGTGCAGGCAGGATAGGCACTAAACTGGCCAGGCACCATAGCAACGCTTCCTACCCCTGGTCACCATAGTTCCTAGGCCAGAGTCCCCTTCCAAGCCCTCTGTGGCTTATGTTTTCCTGGACAGCTCCCTCTTAGTCAGCAACCTTCGAGTTTTAGGGCTGGCAGGAAACAGGAACAGCATTGTGGAACTCGAGCGTGCAGCCCTGGTGGCCAGCTTCCCCAGGGTTATGAAAAGGAAGCATGCAGCATTACCTGGAGAGCCTGCCGTTAACACCTCTGTCCTGCTGACAACAAAGGTCCGAGACAGGGACAAAGGAACTGAAATGGAGAAAAGCAGGGTGAGATGGCATCGAGTCAGAGAGATCGTCACCTCCAAGGGACGGGAGCAGACAATGTCTCGCTAACATTCCACCCGAAGTGGCAAAGCCCACGCGGTGTTACGGTGTTACATGATGGAAGGGACACAATGACTTTCCAGGAAGAGCAGGCAGGGGAGTGCCAACGTGATGAATCTCACGCTGTGCTCTTTTCTGGAAAGTTCTTAAGCCCCCAATACCCAAATGGGCTCCACAGCCCCAAAACAAGCTTTTCTCAAGGCCCAAATCACAATTAGCCACACACAACTGGCGGCGCAGCTCCTGTGGGCTCTAAAAACAGGCGGAAGCCACACTCCGGCACTCACCACGCAACCCTGCAAGGCCTTAGTCCCAACTCACTGCTAGTCTTGGTTTCATAACTTTGGCCTGATGTTTTGAATTGCTTGGGATGACTGCAGATTTCCAAACAGAGGCAAAAGTGTAGAATGCCATGCTCAGACTGCCTGAGAATGGCAGCCCAAGCAAGGCTCGTCGCTGCTCTCTCAGACGGGAGGCTAGGGACAACCCAAGGGCAAGCCATGGAGTCTGGGGGCAGGCCTTCCCACATGTCCTGAGAACCAAGGACTGGAGGCTTTACCCAGATTGCTGGCTTTATTTACCTCTTTGTTTTGAGACAAGGTCTCAACAGGTAGCCCTGGCTGGCCTGGAACTTGCTATGTAGGCCAGGCTGGCCTTGAACTCACAATCTTTCTGCCCCTGTTTTCCTGGTGAACAGATGACTTTTCATGTGTGTGTATGTGCCATGGCACGTATGTGGAGAACAGAGGGAAGCTTGTGGGTTCTTTCTTTCCACCATGTGAATCCCAGGAATTAAACTCACGTTGGAGGCTTGGCGGCAAGCACCTTTACCTGCCGACGCCACTTCTCCCGGCCACAGCTAACGTGAACAGACACAGGCAGGTCTTAATGTGGCAAGAGCTGTACTGATTGGACATCTCAGTGACAACACGGCCCCCAGACCTAGTCACGAGGGTCAGTAAGCAGCAGCCTTTGAGATGACGACGAGGGCTTTCCGGTCAGGAGGCATCTCTTCGCTGGCTTTTGTTGTTTTGATTGGTTTGAAAGGTCTCCTGTAGTCTAGGGCTGGCCTCAAACTCACTACATAGCTCAGGCTAGCCTAAAACTCCTGGCCCTCCCACCTCCTTCCCCACATGCTGGCCCTGGAGGTGTGGCCACCACCCCAGCCTTTTTGCTGACTTTCTCAGTGGGATTTTCCTTATACTATGGTTCAATATGTGCTGGGCTAGTGTTGAGGTTTAAATATCCAGTAACCAGCAAAGATGTATTGCTCTCATTTCTTTTCAGAGCTACCTTGTAGGTGTGGGTCTGCTAACCTGGGCTAACTTGAGGTACTCGGTCCCAGAACCATGATAACACCTTTCATGATGTAACATTTCCTCCTGTGGTTTTGTTGTTTCTCATCCTTTGTTTTGACATGTGAGACAAGGTCTTGCTATGCAGACCTAGCTGGTTTAAAGCTCACAAAGCAGACAACACTGACCCTGAACTTGTAGCAATCCTCCTGCCTCTACCTCCCGGGATCCTTTATATTTTAAGGGTCACAACACACTGAATACACAGACAGTGCCCCAATCAGCTCTCCTGGTTGCTATAGGACACCAAAGGTCTTTTCTCAATGTCATACAACCTGCATCTTGGGCTGTGACGCAGGTCTTTCCATGCCCAGTCACAAAGCCCTCTCCAGTGTCCCCAAGCAGAGGGGATGAAGGCCACCTCCAGTTTACAACAAAGACCACCTACATTTGTACGTGGTGGCAATGGGGGCAGTGTGCCCTTGGGACTGTGACACCTGCCCAGGATGGTGAGGAGTCTTGACAGTTCACTGGCTTCCTGATGGTAACAACCTCATGTCTGTCACACTGCTGGGTGGAGAGTGGGGGAAGACCAGTGTCACAAAGATAAGCTTGCCTGACGGTCCCCATCCCCCATCCCTGTTAAGATTTTTGCTTGTTTGTTTGTTTTCTTTTGTTTCAGTTTGACAGTCCTCCTTTAAGGTGGGTTAGGGTTAGCTTTGGGCTTTGGGAAGGTTTCCTGGTACAGAATGGTCTCTATATTTTGGCCACAAGGTGGCACTCCAGCACCTCCGTTTACCTGCCTGATCTGCTGCTCCTTGGCAGAGAAAGCAAGCCATGGAACAGCTAGAGCCCCAGGGGTTGGGAGCGCGGCAGAGTTGGGTGCAGACACCCCTGCTGGGACAGGTTACCTTTCAGGCACCTCAGAATCTCAGAACTTGCTCAATTCCCCATGGCATACCCACCCACCCCAAACAGCCCACTTTCTGGATAAACAGTCACAACTCCTTCATCCTCAGGAAGATGCAGTGGAAAATCCCCAGAGTAGCTAGGATGCACAGCTCAGACTTTGGGTAGAGATAGGGACACTTCCCACGCCAGGCAGGAGAACACTATGGCAAGTACTAGACTTCTAGGAGTACTAAAGCTGACCAGCAACTCAACAGAACCGAGGGTGCACCCCCACCAGAAGACATGGAGCTTTCACAGGAAACAGCCTGAGATGGCTGATCTAAGTGTCAACTCCCTGGGTTTACAATCACCATAGAAACACACTTCCGGTACCTCTATGAGGGTATTTCGAGGGAGGTGCGGCTGGATGGAGAAGAGTGTGGGGATGCCACCCACAGGCTGGGGTCCTGGACTGATCAAGCGTCCATCCCTTCCTGCTTCCTGTGGAGCCACCACAGGCTGCCTGTGGTCCTGCCACTGTAGTCCCCTGGCCACGATGACGGTCTCAAACCGTCACCTAATACCATCACCTGATATAAACCTTCCTCCCTTAAGCGGCCTTCGTCAGGAATTTTGTCACAACAGTAAGGTAAGTGACGCCACACTGCCCTAGCACTGACTGGCAGAGAGAGCTAAGTGCCGTGCTCCATGTTCACACGGGAAGAGGGGTGAAGCGCAACCACAGGGCACAGATGGCCGCAGCACTAGGCTGGGGCACCACACCCAACCTGCTACATTCCCTGTAGGTCCACTTATACGAAGTTCAAGGAGGGAGAGGGGCCGTGACACAGGAGTTCCTAATATTCTGTCGCCCCTGGTCTGCACAGCTGTTTGGTGTGGGTGGAAACCTAGGAAGGTATATACTTGAGATGTGGACGGCTTCTGTCTCTAGGCTGCTCCTCAGTGAGAAGTTCAAGTAAACCATGCAGGTCAGGGGCGCTGGGAGGACTGATGGGAGGAGTCCCGTGCCCAGAGGCTGGAAGCACTCACCTGGAGAGGCTGTGAGGGCCATTACACCATAGTATGAGAAAGCACTCGCTTCAAACTTCATCCCTTCCTTCCCAGCCTCCACTTCCACCTTCCCCTGTGGAGGAAAAGGGGGGCTTTCAGTTGGATTTGCACATAAAGCTAGTTCTTCCCAGGTTTATCTAAACTCCTCTCCCACAATCCCCAGAAGACAGGCTTTGGAAAATAAAGGGAAGGTATATTTCTTTCAACTAGAAAACCGGATTTAACTGAACGTCTGGAAGCGACAGTATCTGTGGACCCACCTAACACCTCCCCTTGTCCCCAGCTCTTCAAGGGCCTCAGTAATAAAAAGAATTGGGGAGAGAATGCTGAGGAGACTCTCCTGGCTGCCCCAGGAGGAGCTGGAGCTGGGAAGCAGCAGGGTCAAGGGTCAGCATGCCATGTGTCCATGGAACAGAGAGGTGTGAACTGGCTCCAGGGCCCTGGGCATCCCAGGAGACACCTTGCCAGGCTCCCTAAGGGCACTGCTGGGGAGAGCAGCCTGAGAAAGTCTCCCTCAATCAGAAGAAACTGCTGAGCAGCCGCTCTTCATGCTCTGGCATGCCTGAGACCTCTCCTCCTCCATCACCTTTTCCATCCCCGCAGCCTTAGGGGTGACCAGCAGCAGCCTGTTCCGGGCTACAGAAATATGTCCCAGCGAAGGGCTAGAGCAGCGTGTTCACATCGCCCATATCAGCTCCCCAGAACATCCTGTGCAAGGGCGAGCCAGCAAGCCACCACTTGCTAAAAAGGAACCATTAAACCAGGCATGGTGGCACATGCCTGTAATCGCAGGAAAGTCAAGGCAGGGGGATGAGGAATTCAATACCCTCCTGGACTATATAAGAGAGTGTCAAAAGAGAGGGAGGAGGGGGAGAGGAGGAGGGAGGAAGAGGAGGCAAGCAGCCACGCGCACTTTCTAACTCACTAATGCTCCCAGAGGCAGACATGGCTGGTCCCTCTCACAAACTGGGAAGGCGGAGCTGGGAAAGGCAGATCGAACAAGCTCTCAACACCTACCGCCCCACTCATATGTACCTGGAACACTTCCTACTGGAGTGCATTAAATTCTGGATTGGGGGAGACCCTCCTTTTACAGCTCACATCTCCAGAAACACACCTATGCCTCTCTTTAGGTTCCCTTCACCCCATGGAAACCCTTGCTCGCCCAGTCCCAACCAACTCTCGGCATAAGGAAGGAACTTCAAATCCAGATCATTTTTGTTGGTGAGGTGCCTGACGCTCTCACCCTGCCCCTTGTGCATGCCAGGCAAGTACTCCACTGCCCGGCTGCGCTCAGCCTTTCAACCCATAATTTTAAAGCAATCTGCAAAGTGTAGAAGCTGCCCAGCCATGCAGCGAGGCCTGCAAGGAGGTGCCGTGAGCCCCGAGGAACCGGCTCTCATCCCCTGACTGTAGTCCAGTGGGTGGAAACTGCCCAGAAAGCTAGTTACAGAAGGCCTCACACAAACACACCCTGAAGAAGAGACAAAAATTTAGAGAGTCGTCACCAGGCATGGGAGCACATGCCTGCAGGCCTAGCACCCAAGAGGCAGAGGCAGGAGGGTTTAAGTTCGAAGCCAGTTTGGTAGGTCTATGCAGCCAAAGTTCCAGGCCAAGCTGGGCTACAGAGCAGACCCTATCTGGAAAATACTCCCAGAAGTGGGGGCTGAAGAGATGGCTTAGCTGGTAAAATGCCTGCTAAACAAGCATGAGGACCTAGGTTTGGATCCCTAACACCCATGTAGGACACAAGCGCCAATCACATCTGAAACCCTAGTGCTTGGTGGAGATTGACACAGGTGGGTGCATCTTTGGCGCTCACTGGCCAGTCATTTTAGCCAATCGATGAGCTCTGGGTTCCCTGAGAGATCCTGCCTCAAAAGATAAGGTGGAAAGCAATAATGGACACGATCTCTGGCCTCCACATGCACCACTATGCATGCATGCCACACAAGCATATGCATGTACACACGCACGAGTGCATACACACACAAGCAAAGTTCCGAGAGACACATTTACTTCCTGTTCTAGCATGAAGACACTCTTTCTGCAGGAAGCCTAAGGATGGCAGATCTGGCTGAGCCACGGTATGAAGGAAGGTCTAAGGCAGGTGACAGCAGCCAGGCTTCCAGGCCTGCACAGACAGGCAAGGCCACAGAGCTCCTGGGACGAGGCTGAGGGCAGATTTTGCAGAGGAACAGTGGTTCAGAAAGATAGCCCAGTCCACATTAGTGTGGCTCTGCTGAGAAAAGCCACAGGGGCTATTTCAAAGTTGGTGTGGAAAAGAAGCAGAGAGAATAGGGTGCTAGGCACAGTGGGTGCCAGGGCAGCGTTCTTTGAAGGGTAGACCCCTTGAAGAGAAAGAGAAGGAGGTGATGGTAGGGACAGAGATGAATTTAGAGAAGGTGAAGCTGGGAGCACTCAGACACAGGCGCCATGACAGTGTCATCCTGAAGAGCCTTGGTCTGCACAGCACTGATGCACACTACTTCAGGGATGCTGCAGCACATCTCTCTACTGAACTACTCAGGGATGCTGCAGCACATCTCTACTGAACTAGTCAGGGATGCTGCAGCACACCTCTACTGAACTACTTCAGGGATGCTGCAGCACACCTCTACTGAACTACTCAGGGATGCTGCAGCACACCTCTACTGAACTACTCAGGGATGCTGCAGCACACCTCTACTGAACTACTCAGGGATGGTGCAGCACACCTCTACTGAACTACTTCAGGGATGCTGCAGCACACCTCTCTAGTGAACTGCTCAGGGATGCTGTAGCACACCTCTCTACTTGCACAGTTAAGCCAAAGCCTCACAGACTTCTTCCTCCAGGGATTCTGGGTTGTTTCACAAACCACACAGTCTGTGTGTTCTGTGTCTCTGCAAGTGGATGTGAGTTCCCACTTTGTGATCAACCATCGGAACCGAAAGGGTAGTAGTCTTCCTCCCAGAAACAAGCCCGGGGCCAGCCTCTCAGGAAGGACTGGCAGGACCCTGTGCTGACTAGGAGCTTCACCTGGTAACTTCCAAAGAACAGGGTCCCAAAGGCCGGCCCCAGCTCCCACTTCCGGGTGTTCTGGGCTCATCAGTATGAGGTGTGAACTGTGTAGGAGAACCGAAGTTCTTCAGGTAACCTCAGGAACACGCAAGGTTTGGAGTCTCATGTTCTGGCTGTTTGTGGGCAAAAGCCCCAGATCTGGAAACTGTTTTCTGGTCTCCAATACTCCCACAAAGGCACAGGGTTGGGTCTTCTGACTAATCAAGGATGGCTACAGAGAGATTCCACACCCACAGTGGAGACCACAGCCATCCCCTAAATCCTCAGGGCAGGCACCAGGTAGGGTCGGGCCTGATAACTACTCTCCTCTTGGATGCCAGAGCCTCAACCATCAGCTACTGTGATCGTGCTAGGCCAGTGGCTCCCACATGCCCATGTGTTCGGGCTCTGAGAACCGGCAGCAAAGAAGAGCCACCACATTTTTATTTCATTATCTATTGTTGCCATCATTCCAGAAAAGACCACATATTTTGACTGCCCCTCCAATTTAGAAAATGTAGTTTCAGCCGGGCGGTGGTGGCGCACGCCTTTAATCCCAGCACTTGGGAGGCAGAGACAGGTGGGTCTCTGTGAGTTCGAGGCCAGCCTGGGTTACAAAGTGAGATCCAGGACAGACTCCAAAATACCCCAGAGAAACCCTGTCTCGAAAAAAATGGAAAAAAAAAAAGAAAAAGAAAAAGAAAGAAAGAAAGAAAATGTAGTTTCAACAAACATGCCTTCAAACAGAGCATGAATTGTCTATGAAAAATGTCCTGCAGCCGTTCTTGTCTCATCTTTCCTCCTACTGGTGACAATGTCACAGCCGTGTTCAGGGGCCACTTACAACATTACAACAGCTTAAAAAGTACGACAGAAAGTGGGAGATGGGACTCTGGAGGAGTGGGGGGTGGTGTATGAGCATAATTAAAATGCAGTGCGTACACTGAAATTCCCAACAAATAAATGCATAAACCAGAAAACGGGGCTGCCAAGATGGCTCAGTAGGTAAAGGTAGCTGTGGCCAAGCCTGACCACCCAAGTGTGACCCCAGGATCCACAAGGGAGGGTGAAAACTAACACCTGCGGGGTGTCTTCTGATCCCCCAAAACATGCTGCGGCACAGTTTTGGCAGAAAAATATAGTGCCCAAGTTATAGAAAGTAACACATGAAGCTGGGCGGTGGTGGTGCACACCTTTAACGCCAGCATTCTGGGAGGCAGAGGCAGGCGGATCTCTGTGAGTTCGAGGCCAGCCTGGTGTACAGAGTGAGTTCCAGGACAGCCAGGGCTACACAGAGAAACCCTGTCTCAAACAAACAGACAAACAAAAAGAAAGTAACAGATGAAAATAAAACAACAGAGGTCTGCAGACAGTTCAGCAGTTTGGAGCCCTTGTAGCTCTTGCAGAGGACCCAGGCTTGGGTCCCAGCTCCCACAAGGCAGCTCATCATTATCTATAACTCCAGCTTCAGGGCATCTGATGCCCCCTTCTGACCTCCAAGGGCACCGAGCACATACACGGTGCACAGAGCTGTATGGTGGTATTGTGTTCCCCAAAATATTGTGCACCTAATAAATTTATCTGGGGTCAGAGACAGAACAGCCACTAGATAGAGGCTAGAAAATGGTGGCACACATGCCTTTAATCCTAGCACTCCTGAGGTAGAAATCCCTCTGGATCTCTGTGAGTTCAAGGCCACATTGGAAACGGCCAGGCATGGTGACACACGCCTTTAATCCCAGAAAGCGAGCCTTTAATCCCAGGGAGTGGTGGTAGAAGGCAGAAAGGTATATAAGGCATGAGGACCAGAAACTAGCAGCATTTGGCTGGTTAAGCTTTCAGACTTCTAGCAGCACAGTTCAGCTGAGAGCTATTCGGATATGAGGACACAGAAGCTTCCAGTCTGAGGAAACAAGACCAGCTGAGTTGGCCAGGTGAGGTTAGCTGTGGCTTGTTCTGTCTCTCTGACCATCCAGCATTTCACCCCAATAACTGGCCCCGGGTTTGATTTTATTAATAAGACTCTCTAAG